TTGGTAACATGGCTTGTTAATTAATGGTAGAAGAATGACATGTCAAAAAATTCCTAGAATTGACAACATGGACAAGGGAATGACATGGCAAAAAAAAAAAAAAAGACATTAAGAAATTCGCTTTTATTTTCTTCCTCTCTTTTTCTCCTCTTTCCCATTTTCTTTCCCTTTCCTCTTCCTTCCTTCTGCTACTGTAAACTCTAACACCTAAAACCACCTTCGATTTTCCTCACCAAATCAATTCATCTTCTTCCCCTTGATTTTCCTCACCCCTTTCTCTTCCAGATTTGGTTATTCATCGCCTATCACTTGTACACCTAACAAATCTAGGACCACCGCAAATCAAATCTCAAAATCTACCCTAATCCACCGAAATATGGCTCTTTTAAGTAGTCCAGAAGATACATCATCATCATCATCAAACAAAATTACCTCTTCCAGGACTTTCAAACCTAATAGCTGCTGGGTTCAATCAAACCCAACAATGGAACCCAGCAAGGCTACTGGGTTCGAAAGAACCCAACAAAGCTACGAAGTTCAATGGAAAGAAAGGAAAGACATGTTAGGGTTGAAAATTGCTAGGTTCAAAGCTGATGTTGAGATATTAGGGTTTACAGAAGTTGAAGAAAGGGAAGAGGAAAAAAAAAAAACCTAAAAAAAGGAAATTTTTTTTGGGTGGGAGGAGTTGGAATTACGTGGACAAAATTTTTAGCCACATCATTTGTTTTTGCCAAATTGTCAATCTTTCATGTGAAAATTTTCAAACACATAATGCTTGTTTTGTCAATTAATGTGGAAAAATTAACGGAATGATCAAGTTGGGGCCAAATTTGCAAACAGTAGAAACCAAATTAAGGATTTTTTTTAAGTTGAAGGATTTAATTAGAGGTTCGTACAATAGTTGAAGGATCAAAATGAGGGTTTAACTAGATAAAAATAACTTATACACAAGGAATATGGACAATGCAACATAAATTTGTATTCTTTTTAGAATATAATATCTTAAGAAGTTAAGTGTAATTTTCTTTGTGTGAATTGTATTTTACTTAACTATTAATAGAAGAGGTGAATCTCTTAAATTAAAGATTTATCCTCCATCAATACTTAATTGTTTTATAGTTTATATAGTGCAAATTGCAAAATAATATTATGATATAATATTACTTTTGTTTGTCTTTTGGTTATCAATTTTTTGTGTAGCATGTTAAAAGAGAAATTAATTAAAAATTGAAAAACACTCACTAGATTAGAGTATGCGAGAAAAGTAAAAATTAAGATATCTTAAATATTTTAAATATCAAAACTTCATGGAGAATTATTTAAATATTTTTAATAATTTTTTTATATAGACACATTAAGAATAATTTATTCTTTTTATAATTATTTTAATATTTTAATTATTAAAATAATAATATTTAGTCTATAATATAATAATATTTAAAATAAATGTGATAGTTATGTATTTTAGATTGTATTGAATTATACAACTTAAATTATTAAATGAAAAGCATATGTCTTGATTTCGGGGGTTGTCCCCATCTAACCATTTATATTTCTAACGATTTATATTTTTTAATTTAGTATAATTTAAGTTATAAAACAAATTCTCATTCTATAATCAATATTTTTATTTATAAATTTAACATTACATCCCATAAAGTTTTGTAAAAAAATTAAAATCACAAACATTGTTGTTCTGTTAATTATAAAAAATAATTTAATTGTTGTCCCCCTAATTATAAAAATAATTTTTATTGTTCAAAAAAAAGGGAGGGAGCGAGGAATCAAGAATGAGAAAGAAAATTTTTTAAAAATTGTTAATATTGGGAACCACAAGTCATGGCACTAGAGTCTCAAGTCATTCGGAGAACATTCTTGCAATATGGTTTGGACTTCGTATAAGAGTGAAAAATTTCCCCTTTTCTTCAAGGTTTAGGTACTTCCTTGTGGTCCGTGCGATGACCATTGACCAGACCCACCAATGAAAAATTGAGAAAAAAGAAATGCATGTACAAATTACATGAGCAAAGGATAGCCATATTGTCCATGGACAAGTTGGGAATTACTGCTTTTGAATGGTTAAAAGAAGATAATGGCTTGTAGATCCAACAAACAGATTTGATCGGATGAGTTTGAATTAGATTAATTACCGTTGCCTATATGATCAAATATGTTGCGTTAAACGTGTTAACAAGTCAAGAAATATTGCATGAAACTTAAATTGGATTCAAAATAGACAGATAAGATGATAGATTCTTAATGCAGATATACATATATCATATACTGAGATTTTAATAGGTCCTTAAGTCCCAGAAATAAAACATAGCAGTATTATTTCATCAAAACCAAGCAACATTTCAAAATATAAAGGACAAATGTATCTAACAGACAGAACTAAAAACAGAAATTAGACAAACTCCATGGCTAAAGGACGACCACCAAATGAAACCTTCATTCATTATATTCCGTTGAGCAACCTCTCCCCAATGTTGTAAGAAGCATAAGCATCAATGCATGGATACTGGATCATCAAGAACTCTAGACTGCCAAACGCTCCTGCAAACATCCACCGGCTTTGGCATGTGAAGCCCCAGACCCAGATTAGCAATGTCTTTGAGCCCAGGTTTACTGTAAAACATACTTGGCCAACGTTTCATTGTTATTTCTCGAACATCAGGTACATTGGAACAGTGGAGTCCATATTCAATCCTCAGCTTTTCCGCATCTCTTGCAACCTCAACTCCAACAAAAGTAAGATTAGGATCGCACAAGGAAATCCCGGAGAGATTGAGGAACTCAGTCCAGGTAGAACAGTTGGAGAATGAGACACTTGGTGCCTACGCAGAGTTGCAGAACAGCTGTTTTGTTGGACATGAAAGGAAATTGGTTAGGCTTCCATTCAGAGTCCAGCCCCACGATCACTTGCTGTCCGTTGTACATGGAACGGATGTTCTGCACCAAGGAATCGACCACGGCTGCCTTGTCCGTGACAGTCACATATATAACCTCACCGGAAAGGAACACGATTTGTTTCTGTACTTTCCATCTTTCTTTGTTAGTCATAACATTTCAAAGTCCGTCTATTTATAGAGTTGTGCCAATATTGAAACATGGAAGTATAGATACGTTGTTTTAATTTATGGGAAAACCAAAAGCCAGATTTTTAATTGTTTTTGCTTTAATATATGCTTCCATTGAAACTCGAAGACGCTCGCTAGCTAGGAAAAGAAATGACTTTAAAACGGTGTGTATTCAATGGATAAAATGTGGGAATCGCTCGTCAGTAGACTGGTTAACAGGAGACAATATATTAATGACATAGTACCATAATTAACCTTCTATTAAGCCCAATGTGTGGCTCAACGGTTAAAATTTTGAGGGTGTAAGTTAAAAATCTCAAATTCGACTCTTGAGTTGAGTGAAGAAAGTTTTGAGAATAGAAAAAGAATTTAAGAATAAGAAAGGATTATCTTCTTTTGAATAGCCTATAATCAGATATATTAAAAAAATTAGCTTTCTATTAGAAATTAACTTAAGAGAATGATTCAATTATCAAGAATTTAAAATTTTAAATTAAAAATCTCAAATTTAGATTTTGAATTAAGTGAAGAGAGATTTAAGAAAAAGAGAAATTTATTTTTTTTGTATAATTTATTATTATCATATATACAAAAAAAAAAAAAGTGTTCTATTAGAAATCCAAGAGTTAAGTTAAATTCTTAGCACCTCTATTTTCAAATATAAGTCTATGTATAAAAAAAAATATCTCAATTATCATTCATATATTATAAAAAAATAATATTACCCAAGCCGTGCGAAAAAGGTGGCATTGTTCTTCCTTTTTCATGGAAACTCGTCAATAGGAAATGCATCTCCGTCAAGTTATAATTTAGTACCTCGTTCTTAGTACAACTCTCTAATGGATTCAATTAAAATAGACCTCAAAATATATTAGTAGTTCAATCCTAACATATAGATTCTGATCCCCACGTTTTCGGCTAGTGACCACAATCCTTCGTTAAAATAGAGATCATCTCCTGTGAACGCATGTTTAACTCCCACAAATCTCATTTCTTATTCTCTCAAATTGCCCTATTCAAAAAAAAAAAAAACATATACAGATCTTCTGCTTACGTAAAGCAATAGACCAGATGTTCATCTCCCAATTCTCTGCTAAACAATCTCTATTTCTGTTGTTTCTATTACCTTGCCACGGTACTGAATGAAACCAGTTTGAGTCATTTTCTAACAACATTTTTCCAGAGACAGCGTCCATGAACGGTTTTTCTAAGGGCACAGATTAATGAATGTTAAGTTCTGCAAAGCCATAAAGTTGCATTCATGTCACGAAATAGGAGAAAAGGCAACTCTAAGGACAGCTTTTTTAACATGGTGCATTTAACAGGGAAAAGGCAGAACAGAGAAAAGGGGAAGAAGAACTAGAGCACTTTGCATCACGAATCAGTAAAATATTAACCACTCATGACTCATTCAATAACTTGTTCGCAATTTTGAAGTAAGCATACACATTTGATGCGGCAAGCTTAATCTGTTTCTTGTTAAGAACTTCGCCACCCCAATCACTAAACACAACGCTGGTCGGTTTCTCCAGCTTTAACGACCCCACCATTAAAGCCAGCTCATCCACCCCACACAAACCCAGCTGAGGTTTCCTCATAACTTCAGCAGCAAACTGTTTCAAATCAACAGCATTTTTACATCCCAGGCCATACTCTTTCTCTAACTTCGTCAGACTTCCTTTGATACCTATCCCAACGAAGGTGAAATCCGGTAACTGAAGAAAATTGAAGAGGGAGTTTGGAACAGAGTCGAAAAAGGGTAGCTAAATTATGAGACATTTATCCCCATCATAAAGTTGCAAAATTGCAACATCACTCTTGCTTGTTGAACTCCTTTCTTCGTTCAGTGTTAACTCTACATCCAAACCGATGACTTTCTTATCGTTCCTCCTGTTAGACAGGAAATCCCTTATGTGACGGTCGACATCTGTTTCACTTTGGGTTACCGTTGTTCTAACATGATCATCACCCAGGGTGACAACTAGTACAGTGGCCATCTTACAGGAGTTGTTACTATGAATACTCCGGAGAGAATTCTTTGGTGGTTTATATAGAGTCATACATGATACATGCTGAGGTTGGGAATTTGGAAAGATTCGTTCATTGAATTTGAAATTTTCTAGATGTATCTGTTTGAGAAACTTAAAAGTCTCAAGCATAAATGTCTACCCTCTTGGGAAAGAAAAAGTTACCACTCTTATATGGTCCATCGTTAGATACACTACCTTTGTCCATTTTGTTTTGTTACTCTTAGGGACAGGTAGTTCGGGAAAATTAACCGGTTAGAAGGGATATAGGAAAGGAGAAAAGTGAGAAAAAGTTACCCTCCTTGTATCATTCTTAATCGGATATATTACAAGAATCATCCAATTTTCTGCAAAGCTTCAGGCTGACGAATAAGATGCAAACATCTACACATCCAAGCTGGCTGACACTTCCTAACAAAATTATTGGCATAACAAATAATTAAAAGTTATGATAGAAAATAGCTATCTTTTTCTGAATACTTCAACGACCCATAGTGGTGGTTGATCCGTAGTTATGTGAGAGACGAAATTTTCCCAGAGAAATAATGGTTATTAACACCGGGCCTAAGGCGGGAATGGTTTAAAGCAGCATAACAAACTAAATTGGGAAAGCAATCCCACCATCTACCAAGAATACAAGTCCATTACTAAATGCAAGTGAACAATCAATCAGAAAAGGTTGGTCCAAATGATTACCAGCCAAACTTAAAAACCAAAACCGCATATGGCTTCCTTACGATAAAAATGTACTGGACAGATCTGCACTTAAAAGTTTAAAACTGGAACAAACTTCAGTAACATTAGCCAAGTGTTCCCTTCATACACTGGCTGAATACAATAACCAAACATGCTTTACCTAGATCATAGCTCCCCTGTGCAATACACCATACCTGACAAAAATCTGGTGGACCCTGAAAAATTTTTGGAGTAAAACTTTAAGCTAATGGGAAATGGGCAAAACAAAGTATGAAATTTTACAAAAAAAAACAACACAATTACTGGCTATGTCTGCCTGACTAAAACCCTAGATTAACAAATTGAACCCTTCTCTTTCCTGGAAGTAATTGCAGAAAGTGTCATACAAAGGAGGATCAAAGAAATTGGACAATTTCTTCTCCCACAAAAAGCATCATCTTATGCAACATGAAACATACCATGGGTAACCAAGAATGGAGCAACAAACCAAAAGGAACAGATGATAGTAATTTTTCCTCTTTACTTGATTAAAACGAGTGACAACTCACCAAAATTCCATTTCACTGATCTAGTACTGATTGTAAGCTTTCCCAAAATCTTCACGCCTCTGATGCTGGAACTCACCATAAGGGTCATGAGGCCTTGAAGAATAATTTTCCATAGGGGTTGGGTACCTAGCCCTTGAATCCATAGGTATATTGGTTCCTGTGTAATGAGGATTGACTGACGATCCATCATATTCCGAATACACGTGCTGTTTATAAGCACCAAAACCTGAAGGAGGCATTTGCTGTCGTGCCTGTTGCTGGCATCTTTGTGCATCAAATTTAAGAAAATCCTCCCATTCTTTTGCATGGGATCCCCTTAGCATAGCCAGTTTCTTCATGTAATTCTCTCTCATCTCCCTGATAGTCTAAAAGCCGTAGAACTATAAGTCAGAAATTAGACCTCATTGACACAGCAAATAGCAGCATTGCTGTCCCAAGAAATAGTTTTTCACAGAAGAGGGCCGCAAAAAGTATAAGCAGTTTCCATGTCCATAGCCTCATTAATCAATATAAATAACTTACAGCTCAGCCTCAAAAGGATGAAACAGTAGCGACTTGGAAAAAAATTCCATGCTAGACACATGGAACGCATCAGCACTCTTAAGATTCTATTAAGCAATAGAGCATGAACACACTTTTTAATTTTTTCTGATGACAAATTTCGTGGTATTTATTGAAGCTGGTAAATATTAAAATATCAAAATTATAAATACAAAACAGAAATTCAACTTGTACTGAACAAATACTTCTTTGTTTATAAGCACACTTGATGGAGGTCCGACAAGGCTAAAAGTATAGGACATCTCCAGAAGGATCTATGATTGTCCAATAAGCTGGTTAGCCACAGAGCATGTAACCACAGTAATACAAGGTATGTTTCTTACCTCCCAGTGTTTGTAATTCTCTTCATCTTCTTCCTTATCATGAATTTTTCCTAGTTCCATTGCCTCTCTCTTATATTCTGACTCCAATTCTTCTAATGTCTGTGGAAAGGCAGGGTATTCAAACTGATTCCCAGGTTGCATGTTTGACGCCCTCCTCTCAGTATCCCATACATCAGGCCTATAACCTCCCATGCTCTGGTTATGATCATCATAAGAATTATATGAATTGCCAACATATAGGGGATGCCCTGGAGATTTAGAATTGCTTGAACGACTCCTAGCGCCATCATTACCATAAGCTTCATGAAATGAATAGTTTGTTAAGCACTTGATTCGAGATGCTAGCATAGATGCAGCTTCAACTACACATCCTATCTTTTATTCACATAGTGAACCCATCCATTGCAAGCCACATATGCTTTCAATAAACAACTTCTTTTGGAGACAACCCTTCAATTCATACCCACCCAGGAAAGTTACTTCAGAATTGCACACAAATTGCTTGAAAATAAGAACTTACCACTTGCTGCAAAAAATGATAAGCAAAAAAATGCATTATAGGAATTCAAGATCAGGTAACAAAATGTTAGAGAACCACATAAGAAAACCTACAGGGCCTAAGCTACAAGACTGGGATTACCACCTTCCTCTGGATACCATAAACAGATTGGATGCTGTCCCTACCTTGTGGAGAACCTCTAGAAAATTTCAGTAAATCCTCACGAACACTGTCTTCCAAGACTTTATCTTGCCTGCCAAATCTTGGTTGAAAGTGTGAAGAATTATGTGGACCTGAATGAGACCTTTGGGTTTCAGGGCGTCTCAGCCTTGCACCCACAAGACTTCTCTCAAGAGACCTTGATCTACTTCTGTGAGAACTAGAAGCCTTTGGATCACCCTCCTCCTTTAATTTGTGCACAGCATCCACACCTTTTTTCAAAATCAACCTATCCTTGCCACTGACTATTATAAATTTCTCATCCATTCTGATTTTGCAGCCAATATCCTTTTCAATCCTCTGCATTCCTTTCTCTGTGAAAACTGACCTTACATGCTGATCTCTGGCAGGTATCCTTTCAAAGAAATCTTGAGTGTTGCGATCACCAAGGGTAGAGGGACATCCCTACAAACAACTCAAAGAACAGCATTTATGATCAAAACAATACCAGATATCCACCTTCCTGAGGATAGAGTGACATTATTTAGCAACAAACCTTAGACTTGGATGGGAAAGATTAAATAGAACAAAAATCCTAGATCAGAAGCTCTATTCAGCAAGGAACTTGAAGAGTTTAAGCACTATTCTAAAAAAGAAACTTAGTAAACTCCCATGTCAGGCTAAAATCAATCTTATTTGAGCTCTAAACTGGCTAGCAGGAAATAACCCATAGCTTGGAACCAAAACCATTGCATTAAGGGGATTTACCATGTAGATGGTACATTGTCTGAAGACTGAAGGTGAATTAGACTATAGCAAACAATGCACACAGAATAAGTAAACATTTACATAGAATTATAAGATATTTAGTACCTGAGTAAAATGACCTGATTCTCCACACAATTTGCAAATCATTTCTTCTTCTTTCCTCTTCTTCCAGTTTCTCTCAGTCGCCTTGGATTTAGCCTCCCAAACCTTAGCTTCTCGGCTAGTGAAATCTGTTGGGACAGCATTGGGATCGCGTTGTTCCTCTTCCTCATCAGAACCTGCATGAGATCGTTTATTCGTCTTTGCTCTATCTTGTACACTGTTAACTGTAGATCCTGGAGGACCAGTGTATTCCTTATAAATTTCACTGAAATCATCATCAATATCTGGATCTGGTCTGTTTGCCATCTAAAAGGGAAAAAATATATATATATATGTAACCCTGTATTATCAAACATACTCCTTAAAATCCAATGGATGGAAGTGATAAAGTTGAAAATAAACAAAGGCACAACATTTACATGATTAGTAGATATTACAAAAAATACTTGGCTAAAGGACTGTATTCTAAAAATTATTAAAATTTCAAAACTTGCATCCATTTTCCTTATGTAAGATGTAATAATAATAATAAATTGTCTTTAGAAGAATTCTAGTTCCAGTGTCTAAAAGCCCATCACAAACACTATAAAACATATAAAAAAATTACCATAATCATGGATTTTCAGCCGTTAGCATTAGAATGCATTTTTAAATTCTAAAGGGAAAAATGAAAATAAATAGCATGCAATTCGATTTTCTTTCACAAGTTGAAAACTTTTCCCAGGAAACAAACGGGTACTATAAAGTTGAAGCGAATAACTGCATTATTCATTACAATAGTGAGATTATGAATGCCAAAAATGATAAAATTTCGTGTGGCATCGATGAAGCTTGAATCCAGAGGTCATGTTTTAGGCATTGCACCCATGAACAGCTACAATAGGATCGTTATAACATCAGAATGTCATCTAATTCGACATAGCTGAACCAACGAGAAGCAAAGAACACAAATGGAAACAGAACCGATACCTCTAGAAGCTTCGGAGCTGCCACAGGAGAGGGAAGAAGGTACAGAGTGGAGGGCTTCAACGATGAAGAGGAGCCTAGGGCTGGATTTTCACATCTAATCTCAAATTTTCTTTCTCAGCAATATTTTAAAATTTTTTCCTTTATTTTTATAATCAGGCTAAGCTAGTAGCATAAAATTTTATTAAAAATATTTTTTTTTTCATTCATCTGTAATTCAGGAATAAGTATATAATTGGTACCTTAACTAAGTAGTTTGTTTCAATTAAGCCTCTACACTAAATTACATCTAAAATAAGTTTATTTATTTATTTTTTTTGCAATATACGAAATTAATTGCTTGATATGATCAGAGTTTAAACCTTAATCTCAAATCAAGTTTTAATGCTCCACCAGACTTTTAGTTTCTCTTTTTAGTACACTAAAAATTAACAGATTTAATAATATAAAAGTTTTATTGACTTTACTTTTAAATTAAAAATTTTAAATTAATAAATATTAATTCAATTAAATTTTTGTTCGTACCAACCTCTTATTATTAGTTCTTCAAAATTAACTTAATACTGAATGAGTTTTTCTATTATTACATTTAAGATAGGTTAAAAAAAAAAAAAAACTAGAAGAGTCACACTTAAAAATTTATAATATTCTCTATTAATAATATTATGTTTGTGAGAACTCTACTACTTTTATTATTGAGTTGACCATAAAATACTACTATTATTAAGTTGGGTTTTTTTATTTAGTGGTGATACTAATATGAATTGCCTTTTATTTTAATTTATAGGGAAAATGCTAGAAAATCTACGTTAGGGGTGTTTAGATTTGGAGGTTTGAAAGGAGCTAATAGGTGCTTGGATAAAAATTTTTGTAGCAGCTAGAAATTAGCCAGTGGCCATTGAGATTTTTAATAATTGTATTTTTTAACAGCTACCTAGGGTAGTTGTTGGATTCAAAAATGTTTGTGATTTTATTTTTTTTATTTATTTAATAACTTTTATACCCTTAAGTTAATCTATTAAAATCTTCTTAATACATTTTGAAGTATTTTGAATTTTTTTTTCTTACATAGATTCGGAACAATCAATAATCATGGTGGTTCTTCTCAATGTATAAAATCAAATTAAAGATCCAAAAAATTTCTTCAATTTCAACCATAAAACATAAAAGAAAGGTGTTAATCGAAGAACTCAACCGATTTTGGGCTAAATTGATTTAAGGCCTGTAATCATCTAGCTTATGGATCAAAATTTGTTGATTTACACTTCGAATAAGTAAAAACAAGTTCTCATCAAATTGGAAACTTTATTTGATTTCAATCTTTCTTCTCAATTTCAATTTTGATTTATGAGTTTTTCTCTACTTGTAAAAAGATAGTTTTATAAAAGAATAATGATAAGGGGACAACTTTTATAAGATGAAATTAAGGGACCATCTATGTGGCAAGCTACATAGAAAAGCATATAATGCACACAAGTCATGTCGTAATCCAATTCTGTTACTTAATGGAATTTCATGCTTTGCACGCCCTTACAATTCAAGTTCTTCAAGTCCTTGAGCATAGATCAATAAAAGCCCAACATAGACTTGAGCACAGGTCTCAAGCTCTTCCACTCCACACCATATCTCCTAAAACCCATTACTCCCATAATAAACTTCAACCTCTAATTCCTACGTTTTCATCCCAACATTGATCGCAATCAAAACTTTAAGAATAATGATAGGGGGGACAACTTTTATGGAATGAAATTAAGGGACAATCTATGTGGCAAGCTACGTAGACATGCATGCAGCCCACACAAGTCACGTCATAATCCAACTTCTATTACTTAATGAAATTTCATGCTTACACGCTCTGCAATTCAATTTCTTCAAGTTCTTAAGCATAGATTCGCAAAAACCCAACATAGACTTGAGCACAAGTCTTCAAGTTCTTCCACTTCACACCCAAAACTCATTACTCCCATAATAAACTTAAACCACCAATTCCTATGTTTTCATCCCAACATTGATCACAATCAAAACTTTAAATCTGAAACCAACCCAGAAAAAGTTAGCACCAAAAAACCAAACCCCAATTACATCATGGTTGAACTCAATGATTTTACTGAAATTCATCTAATTCAAAACATCCTTAAAAATAACGAGTACCATAATTCTTTACATGTATATGGTTTAGAGTTCATGGTACTTGAGTTTAGTACATAATAAATCTAAAAAGGTGGAAATGAACTTGCTGGGAAAAAAGGGGATGTTGCAGATAATTAGGCCAATGAGGAATCAGGAAAGTGTAAATTTTGAGAAAAGTTGGAAATTGGAGCAAAGTAAATTAAGAGGAAACCAAAGAGAAAATTAGAGTCATAGCATATCAAAGAAGAAACCATTAAAGGACATTGAAGGAATTACTAGAGAGATAATCAATTAATTTTGAGGAGTAAAAGGAAATAGGAGTCTCATCTTTGTCTTCCTCCTCTTTGATTTGGTTGGTTCTCCTTTACTTTGTCTTTGACTTGGGTGGTTAAGGCTCCGTTCTCTATCTTCCTTCTCTTCATCCTCTTTGATTTGGTGATTTAATTTGCGTTATGTGGCATTTTTTTTTTTTTGATAAGGGCAATAATTAATAAGTTAATATTGTTAAATGTTAGTAACTAGGAATTCGATCCTTAGATTTGGCATTTTAAGTAAGCTAGTAGCATGCTACCTAGTCCCCTAATTTTGGGCTAAAACCAACTTTGAGTCTCTCACTTTACAAAATTGATAGGTTTTAACATTTAATTTTATAATATGACACTTTTAACCCTTTATCTTACAAAATTGATAAATTTTAGTCCCTTACCTTATATTATGACATTTTTAACCCCTTATATGTACGAATTGAAGAAAATAACCCTCACTTAACATCAAGTTATAATGTTCTATTAGTTCTGTTAGCTGATTGTTACTTCTGTTAGCTGATTGTTACTTCTGTTAACTTTTTGATAGCATCCATTAGCATTCCGTTAATGAAACTAACAAATAAAATTAAATTTAAATTTTATGTTTTCTATAACGAAATGCTAATGAATTTTAATAGTCAATTAATAGAACTAATAGAACGTTATAATTTGATATTAAGTGAGGACTATTTTTCTTCAATTTGTATAGGTGAATGGTTAAAAACTTTATAATATAAGGTGAGCGGTTAAAATCTACCAATTTTGTAAGGTGAAGGGTTAAAATCTACTAATTTTATAAAGTAAAAAGTTAAAAGTGTTATGTTATAAGGTGATGAGTTAAAATCTATCAACTTTATAAGAAGGTGGACTAAATATTGGTTTTTGCCATAATTTTGTCCCAAAAGAATCACTCCCCCCCATCATTACCCATTATAAAGCAATTTTGTCTCATAATCAAAAAAGGGAATTCAATAAAAGTAAAAACAAAACTTTAATTTACTAGATACAATGTTTTTGGTTGTTAATTTAATACTACTAGAAATAGCTAGCAGATCTATTACTAAATATTAATTATAAAGAGCAATAATTATTAATTATCAACTATTAATTACTAATGATTAGTTATTTGTTAGGTGTGTCTGAGACTGTGATTGTCATCTTTTTTTTTTTTTTTTTTTGACTTTATAGCTTATATATATATATGTTTGTGTGTTTGGTAAAGCTTTTAAAATTTTTTTTTTCAAAAGCAATAGAAAGTCATAACATTTTCATAGCAATTTTATATATAAAGATAAAAAATTTATTTTAAAATTTTTTTTATTATAGCTTTCATAAACAACATCTAATATTTAGTACAATTATAAAATTATTTATTAAAACACAATTGTTTAATTCAATTATACCATAATTTATAATATTTTATTTAAACTTAATCTCTTTTTTATTTAAAGATTTTATAAAAAAATTAAAAACTCAATTTCTCTTTATAAGTTGCTATCTCACAAAATCTGAAGAACACCTATTACAAAAAAGTTAAAAAGCCTAAATTATTAAGAAGTAATGAATCTTGTCTATTATAATAATTATATATCATATAACATTTTTAAAATTTTAATTTATAATTAATAAAATTCATTATATGTCATTTATAATATTTTTAAAAAATAAATAATTAAATACTAAAATAAATTTTTTTTCTCATAATTATAATATAATACAATTCAACGCAATTACAATTGTAATTATAACTATAACATCTTACAATAATCTCAAACACTGCTAAATTCGAACAGCTAATCCAACAGCCCTTACTTAGCAAAAGTGCATTGTGCATGTGCATACAACTCTTTGACATCATGTTAAATAATCCTACATGCCTCTAAATTTCTTTTATTTTTGTTCTAAATTAAAAGTATATGGAAATTAAATTGCAGATTAACCTGAAAAAACATTTTTCCATTTCTGCAATTTCCCTATTTTATTTTTAATTTCATTATTATTTTTCTCTCTCTTAGTTCCGTGTTGTTTACCTCTGGACTCTGGCGCCCAATTTCCGCTGTTGATTTTCCTCAGTCAAACTACTAATTTCTAGGGTTTGCAGTAATCTGGAGTGTGACTGTGAAGATGGAGAGATTCAGGGACCATGGCAATGGCTATCAAGACCCTCATCGCAACTCTCAATACCCCAATTCATCTTCTTGGCCTTCTAACGATCAGAGACCTAACTTTCCCGGCGACCACCCCCACCACCACCACCGCGACCACCACCATCATAATCATCACCATAACTACCACCATTACAACCACCACTTCCAACCTCAATTTAACCACCAACCGCCGCAGCACCAGCATCACCACCCGCAGCAGCAGCCCCACCACCACCAGCGGCACCAATTTGAAAGCTTTCCAGATCACCAGCAGGCCCAGCACATGGGGAGTGAACAAAATGACCCGTTTTGGTCAAACGGTGGCGGCAGTGGTGGTTATAATTCAGGTCAAAAGAGAAGCTTTCACCATTCTGGTCCAGGAGCTTCCCCAGGTACCGTGACCTTTAAATCTTTTCTTTGAGATTTAAATGGTCTATTTGTTTGCTTGCTACACTTGATGATAAACTTGTTCACTTAGACTATGAATGTTCAGCATTTTATACGATTTGTCTTTGAACCAAAAACTGTTCATTTCCTTTCCTCTTGGAGAAAATGGTTTCACCTGTCTTAAGATCGTGTATTTTACAAGAATAAGCCTTTTCTTGTCGTCTTGTCTTGTAATGTTACTCTATCAAAGCTTTTCTAGGACTGATAATTTTCATTTTAACAATTAGATGTTTACTAAAGTCTTGGTTTTTTTGTTTTGTATATTTTTCAGATCATCCTGATGGAAGTGGTGTGGCAAAATTATATGTGGCCCCTGTTCCAAGAACAGCCACTGAAGATGATGTACGTTGCTTCCAGTGAGCTATTAGCAAGTCCAAAGATATTTAACCAGAAACTAGTAGATTTTCTGGCCTATCACTTCTACATTTGGTTTTTTTCCCTTTTTGTACATGTCTCTCTTTTCTTCCCCTCTCCTGCTTGCCCTTTCCCCTTCCAACCAGAAGAGTTCATAAATGATTCACTGGGTTTAAATGCATGTTTTTAACAGTTCCAATTCCCAAAAACTAAGCTTCAGATTCTCAAGGGTGGACAATGACACCCTAAATTGCCAGTTCATATTCTCTTTCTTGAATAGACAAACAAATGGTGACTTGCAAAATTGGGTGAAGGAGATAATGCTTCTTAAGTTATAGGTATTACGGCTGGTTTGGTAGGAGGAATAACTGTTCTTTTGTCAAATCATAAAATTAAGGTAAATTGTAAGGAGAGCCTGGCCTATTAGGAAGACCTATTCCTTTAACTATTCTTTTTCTAATAAGTGTAAATTGAGAGGGAATAGCTAAAACTTGGGAGGAGTTGTTATTAGCTATTACCACATTGTTTCATATTGTTAGAAGAAGATTAATACAAGTAAGATGCAGCCATTCTTAATAGACTATGCTCTCTCTAATTCAATTTATTTTGGAATAGCTGTTCTTCCAACCAAACACGCCCATAGTTCCCATTTAACTCCTTGAATGGTGGTGCCAATGAGGCATTGGTCCAGTGGTTAACTCCTTGCATTTTGGTTCTTTGACTATTCTACGTATGACTTGTAGCTCCTAAATAACATTTGATTTATATTTATATTTTTATTTTTGTTTTTCATTAGATCCGCTCCTTGTTTAAAGAACATGGAAATGTTGTTGAGGTTATTTTGCCAAAGGATAAGAAAACTGGTGAACGACAAGGTATGTGGCATGCTATATTTAAGAGTTCACTGTGATTGGCATTTTGTTCTGAATTGGAAGGGGCTTAACCAGAACTCCAAACTGCTCATGTTAGAATGTTATTAATTTTCAACTATCTAATCTCTTTTATCTATCAATACCAAGAACCTATGCTTGCAAACTATTTTGTACACAAGATGTTTTGAGAAATCCTACTTTTTACTAAAGATGTGGTGCCAGATTATGTTCAATTATTCAAAGCATACTTTTCACATTTATTGATAGGTGTTGTGCTGTTGCCTTCCATTTCCATGTATTGATCTGGGCAGTTGTCATTTCCGAATTCTGTTTGTTAGGCCTTTTATTTCCCTCTCTTGAAAAGGATAGAGCTGGAGAACTTAGTGCCTTTATATATCAGTTAATAATGTTTTATGACATGATACATGTTGTGGACTTGCATGGTTGGTTTTGACAAACCAGACGTTAAAAATTTCATCTTAATCAGGCAGAAATCCTCGGACTTGGAGGAGTTTCTTTTGTTTCTTGAATATTAGTTGAACGTGTGTCTTGACATTAGCATAGATTTTTTAAGATTGCTGTTACATTTGTTGAAGGTTAGGAATTAGGAGTCATCATGAAGTTAACTTCTTGTTCAGATATAGATCTGTATTGCAACATATGGTTTCTTGCCATTGTGTTGATTCAAATAGATAAGTATATTATCTCAAAAAAGGTTTGACAATAGTCCTTGCTTTAAACTTATTTATACACATACACATGCAAAATGTGTTTTTGCAGGATATTGTTTTGTGAAATATTTAACATTTGAGGAAGCTGGCAGAGCTATTAAAGAATTGGACAGTCAGCATACTTTCCCCGGGGTTAGTTCTTTAATCTATTGGACTAGTAATGAACATTCCTATTCTTTTTGTAAAAATTTTGTGATCTGTATCTTTCCAGGAATTGGCTAGCATCAGAGTTAGATATGCCGATGCTGATCGTGATCGCGTTGGTATGTTTTAATATTTAGAAAATCCTTGTCTTGATTGCTAAACTTTCTTCCTAACTCCTACAGTCAAGATGTCTTAGTCAGGGTTGCCCCCTTTGGGAATTTGCCTACCTTTCAGATCTTTAACCTCAAACTGCTAGTCTACTATTATAGACAAGATGGTTTCGGAGTTGGAGATGTTATACTGATAAGCATATCTCAATGGCTTAAAGTCCTTTTCCTCTTTTCAGTTTACACCTTGAAACTAGTTGATTGTGGATCTTTAGCATACTCCAATGTGTTCTTTTCTTTCTTATTTGATAAAGAAAGCCCATGAAACCTTCTTGATATTTGTAAAATTATGCTATTAATAATGGTGGCTTGGATTGTGTTTGTTTTTGGGAAAACATATAACTTAAGTGACAATTTTCTCCAGTCAGGAGAAGATCTTTAGTTAGCTTAGATACTCCCTGTTTGTAATTATTAGAACCATGGCCTCTTCAATTGGCTTTGCTTTCAGCAAGATGGATGGCAATCATGAGTTTGGGGTCACTAAGACGAACATCTTTTAGAATTTTCTTGTGCAGTTCTTTTCATCTTATGCCATTGGTTGCATCTTCTGGGAAATGAGAGTACTAGTTGCCTGAAGGAAGAGGCTTCTCTAATAGTATTGTCCTTTGACTAGATCAACTAAGTTTACTGTATGCTTTGAAGTTCCATTATAATTTAAAGACAAGCTGGTCGGGGCACAGGTTTCCATCATAAGATTTTGCTCCCTCCTAACCCCTTTGTGACAAACTAAAAAAGAAACATTCTTCAGAACATGCTTTTGAGTATACTCATTTATGTATGCTGTTTTTATTTCTATCATAATCATTCTCAAAAGCATATAAGTTTAAAAACATGATGGGGTTTTACTTCTTGTGTCCTTTTCGTTTGCCTAATTTCTATTTGGTTATCTTGTAGGGACACCTCATCTAGAGAAAATATTTGTCAGTGGCTTGAGCAAACAAGCTTCAAGAAAGGAGATTGAGGAGGTAGTCTCTAAATCTAATCAGAGCTGGAGCTTTGTCTTGTTGCATTTGTTCAAACTAATGCAGTTTTTGTCTTCCCTTCAATATCTTTTTGTTTTTGTTTATTTATTTATTTTTTTCTGATATACAAGGATAACTTTTGGAAAAAAAAGAAAAAAAAAATCAAGGACAAGCGGACAACTCATTCAGTACTAAGATAAAAAAGTTGATTCATCCAAAAAACAAAAAAGGGTTGATTATCAATAGCGCCCCCCCCCCCCCCCCCCCCCCGAACATATTCAGGCAGCAAATTTGGGGCCTGAGATGAACTAGAATCTTTGAGCCCTAAAACTGTGAGCCCACTGGCCCTGTTTCCCAGATCATGAATATTCTTAATCTGAAATGTAGCATATGTCCAAGATTGCAACAATTTGAGAGCACATTCTCTCCAACATGAATACAATTGCTAAACATGGTGTCAATAAATCCTGATCCCAGTAAAAGATGCTTGTTGCTAGACAAGAAAAGCAAATGGGAAAATAACAATAATATGGATGATATATTTCATTCATGGGGTTGATGCAACCTTTATAGCCATAGTTATTTATCTTTGGCTGCAGGGATGTGGTTTACTTGTACGTTGTGAGTGATCAAGCAATTCACGGCAAACAGTATTCTCCATTTGTTATCCATGTGTTTATGCGCTAACTGCTGCTTGTTTATGTGATTGTGTTTTGGCTGCCAATTCGTATTAGTTAACAGAGAAGGGCATTCTGCATACCTGTTGCATATATGCAATTATGCATGAAGGTGTAGGTGCAAGATTTTCTAGTAGGTCCTAGATGTGATTTATATTGGTCTCCCTAGCATGTGATAGCTTTTTGTTGTTTGTGTCATTTACATTTCGAGACTTCACTGACAATTAAGATACTGAGTATATTCTTTTTGTTCATTCTGGAAATGAATTTGCCTTGTGTTAAATTTCCTTCTCATCTTTAACTTTTATGGGTTATATGTGAACATTTTCTCTCAGATATTTTCTCCTTATGGTATAGTTGAAGACATCTACATCATACGTGATGATCATGGGGAAAATCGTGGTTTGTCTCTTAACCTTACTTTTTCTCTTTTTTTTAATAGTTGATGAAGTATGCTTACATGGAATAAACATTTTGGAGGCTGATTTTTCTCTCAGATGCTTCATGTTCGTCTCAATGTTGTTTCATAATGTTTTTCTGAAGGATGTGGATTTGTTCAATTTTCTCGTAGAGAAATGGCACTCGCAGCAATCAATGCATTAAATGGACTTTTCACTATGAGGGTAAAGCATATGAACTACTTTATATTATGGACAACTACTATGCCTGTGCTATTGAAGGGTACTGAATCCTTTTCTTTTTTCCTTTTTCCTTCTTCCCCTTTTAGGGTTGTGACCAGCCATTGATTGTTAAATTTGCATATCCTAAGAAACCAAGAGCTGGAGAACCAAGGTTTTGCTTCCTTGATGCTTTTCCTCACATTCTTGTCAGAACTACGTATCTATGTGTGTTACAACAGATCATGAATGAATTAGAAGTTAATTTTGTGCTCAAACTAGTACTAGATACTAGAGATTTAACAACTCCTTCATTTACTTCCTGCTCTTCAAATAAATACTTGCAGGTTAGCCGATGGACCTTCTTATCATGCTTCCTAAGAAATTGTAACTGCATTTGCTTGCTGTGATTCTTAGCCCTGCTCTTGAATATGGTGGTTTTCACATTAGTTTAGCAAACTGTAGCCTTGTTAAATGTTGGTTGTTATGATGCTTCCACCAACTCAAGGTCACAGTTTTAGGTCATATATTTGGTTAAAAAGCATGCATGAAAAGTTTGAAAACTCATAAAGGCAATGATTCTTGGTGGGGGATTTCTGTACTAGATTTCAAGAAGGAACTGGAAATGTTTGTCTCTATTTCATTGTTCCTAAGTTGGATCACAGTTAACACACGCAACAGAAATTTTGTTGATTGAAATGCAATACATTAATCTAGTTTGTCTATGACTGTTACAGTATGGTAACTCATAATATTCAAACCTTGTTCTGACCCCTCCTCTTAGCAGGGCAAATTATGGTCCTAATAGCCTAAATTCTGGTTGCCATACTTCAGAGCTAACTATGAGGTACTTGTATAATTATATTTCCCTGTTAACTTCACTACCCTTATTTTTCCTGTTCAATACTCAATTAGCTTTCTGTTTGTTGTTTACTTGTTACAGACCAGTGCCGAATTTCTGCAACCCAATGGCAGGGCCTGTACCACCCACTGTTCCATATCCTGTGCAACAAATTCCTCTGAACCCCCAACCACAAGCCTTTCCCCCTTGGGCAAATACAGGAGGTGCAGCACCTATTGTTGCGCAACAATCACATCCCCCATTGCAAGCACCGTTACAGCCAACTCAGTTTCCATTACAGCAGACACAACCTCCATGGGAAAGTTCTCAATCACATCAACAATCTGGCTCTGGGGTTCAGAAACAGATTCCTCCAGTACTGCCAACATCACAAAATTTTGGACAGCCACAGAGTTCAAATGTATCCAAGTTAGAGGTACCATACAATGATCAATGCCTTCTTATAAATTCCATGGTGTTTCTGGTCATTTGTGAGAACTTTCAGGTCAATGATTTGGTTGGCTGACACATGGAGCAGCAGGCCAGTCATTTTTATCCCATAGGAGTATCTTCAAAAATATTGTGGGACAAACTTGTTATGGTCCTTACACCTATCACTTTACAATTATATGACCTCAAAAATCATAGTTACAATTATATGACCTCACAAATCATGGTTAACAGCTTACTATGGAGCACATTTGTAAGAGCACCAAGATGACTAGTGGCCAAAATCTATTCTTGAAGCTTCTACCCCCAAAATGATGCTATAGGATTTGGCTTTTTCTGGGCCAATATTAGCTTTGGCTTGAGTAAGATTTTTTTTGGTGTCACTCTGACATCTGCATTTCTTAATTGATATAAATTCTTAAAATTAATTACCACATATATGCACTAATGACTAGGCCAATGCATTGTGGTTGAGAACTATCAAGAATCCCCAATCCATGATGAATCATATATGTTTTCCTTGGAGAAGAAAAGGAATCTGTGAAAATTTATGGGGCCTAAAAGGCTATTGAAGTAGACACATTCTGTTGAATGGAAATGTAACAGGTGTTACTCCTGTTCATTACCTCCACTAGTGTGCATGATGTATTACTGATTCTTTTAGATTGTATTATTATGGACCTGGGAGGGAAAGTGAATGGCTTCAAAGTTTGTTGGCATTAAATAGCTTCTGATATTCTTTTCCTTTTTCACTCTCCCTTGTGAAGAGCTGTGCTCTTGCTTTTTACATTTTAAATGCTGATTTTGCCTTAAAATTGTACTTCTTCCTTCAGTCTATGCAGAGTGCAAGCAGCCAGACAATTGTCACTAGTTCATCTTCACCTACGGTACCGCAGAATCTGGAGGCATTAGCTACCCTAGAATGTGACTGGAGTGAACACACCTGTCCTGATGGATACAAGTACTACTATAACTGTGTCACTCTTGAAAGCACTGTAAGTTTCTGCCTTTGAATCTTTACTGCATCTGAGCATTTGGAAGTTTTCTTTCCAAAGGATATAAGAAATATAAATAAAAATTGTTTGCAGTGGGATAAGCCAGAGGAATTTGCTTTATTTGAGAAACAATTACAGAAGCAGCAAAAACCTCAAAATCCCAGCCAAAAGCTTCAATCTCACTTGCCTGTTCCTTCTGCAGAACAAGTTTCTCAAAACGAAGAGGTGAAGCTTCAGACCTGTATTGTGTATAAGAGAAACTTTAAGTTCAATAACCTTGTTTATGTTGATCTGACTTTGTCCTTCTATTATAAAATACATTTGGTCCTATCCCTTTTTTCCCGTGGCAATGCGGTTTCAGCTTGGAGACATGGAGCTAAAATAAGTGATAAATAATCCACAAAGGACATAGCCTTGCTTATTCTTCTGATACAACATACCATGCTAATATTGCATGCAGCTTAACTTGTGAAACCTGTCCAGCATAATTTAAACTAGATCTTTGCTACTCGGAGATTAAGTGCTAGGCCGCTAATGGGTTTGACCTAAGGAATTTATAGAATCCTTTGGTCTGACTTCTTAGCTACTGATTAGGCATTGCTTGATCGTTGAAGAACAATTTTTTGGAGTTTAATGGTTGAGTTTTGCAATCTGGCAAGAATTCTGAGATAATAAACATGATGAGTTGAATGGGACTTGGACTTATCCATGTTTGTTGGATGATATTTGTTATGTGCAATGCTGATTAATGCAGCCAAGTCAAATGTATTATCATACCACGTTTGGCTATTGTGATGTTTAATATCAACCTCGATTCTTCCATCAATCATCCATCGTAGCATTTTGCTTATGGGTGGTGTCCATTTTTGATCTTTCAGGTGCTGGATTGTGTTCAAGTCAATTCAGAAACAAGTCGACTTGTTGGCCCAACCTGTGTTTAAGGGATCTGAGGTACCAAAATTTTATCTATTTGTTACTGAACAAGTGAACTTGCATGTCACTTTTGAAGCATCTTTTTGTTGCCATTCACGTCAGCTATATGGAGAATCAGACTATAAATAAACTTATGGTAGTAGGAAGCGCTAAAATACATGTACAAGTTTTCAAAACACCTGCTTTCCCCAACTGTCATTTTACCATCCTTTCTTTTCTTTGCTTAAATCTTAACTAAACATAGACTAAAACTAGATTGAATGCCCTTTGCCTGTGCAGGGAGTTTTTGCAGAACCAAATTGCTTAGCATACTCGCCTAGGCATTTTTATGAAGACATACCTGTTCATTGTTCTTATTTTTGAAGTTAATTGTTTCACAAAAACAAGCCTTCCCAATAGAGAATTACAGCAGGGTCCCATAACATTCCCCCCGCTTTTAGTTCTCTCTTTTCTCGGCTTTGTTAATGGCTTGATATCAGTAGCTTCCTATGAAACAGGTGGGCGCCTGCACTCTGCTGAATGAGACTTCATAGCCCCGTTAGGTAGCCTATGTAACCGCTTTTCGGCTTTCATTGACTATGTTGTGTACATAGGAGCTAGGCACTTTAAAAAAATTGAATGTAATATCTATTGCATTGTGTCCGATGTTGCAAACTGTATCCTATGCCGTGTATTCTACTCCATTAACTTAAGCAGTTGTCTTTTTATTATAACATAACTGCAAAATTATGGTCCATCATCTAAGCAAGTTGAGGTCGCTTTCTGAATATTTTTTTCTCAGAAACATTGAAATGTAAGTGGCTTCAGACTTGGGATACTGCATGATTGATTGCAGCACCTTGGAATTCCCCATTGGGACCTTTTCTACGGGTTGCATGCTGCAGTTGCCCCGTGCAATAGGCCTGCGTCAGTCCTAATCCCTACCTATTGATTCTTTCTCAAAGTGCTACTACTACCTCTCATGCATTTTAATTGTTTTAGTTAATGCTAAAAAATTTCTCCTTAAAACTTCTAATATAATGGAATAGAGGGAGAACTATATAAAAGTATTACTTAAATTTATGTGTGAAAAAAAAAAAGTAAGCGGCAATTAAAATGAACACAGGTAGTAATAACTAATGAATAGGTTAATTTCGCCAGTTTTTGCACTGAATATGGAGAGATGGTGGTGATGCTGCTTGGATAAACTTCCCTCTATTTGGGTAGAAAACTCCTAATTTAGCCAGGCATAGACATTATTTCACCATAATAAAGTAACCGTCCAAAAGTCATATCCCTTATCTACAAAAAGGAATGGAAACTAACTTTCCCTGTTGCATCACAATTATGCAGTCGCAGTCGAAATCCCACATGGGCCACAGGGAACAAAAATCCACAGAAATTATGCAAAACCTATACAGAAACTTTTTAAGTAGCTCCAGGCCCATGATTAGAATAAAGGAATCGTGGCTCATAGTGCAATGGCTATGTACTTGTAGCTTTAAATTTCTTCACTCTTTATAAAGTAATCGATCACTATTCCTCCACGGTTCCACCATCATTCAATGAACCAAATCTATCAATAGGGTTTTGCATAGCATAGACGTAAAGTCGGGTAGACTAATTAAACACTATATGCAAAAACAAGTGAAATTGAGTCATTCTCCCATCAGCCAGCCAGCCCCACAACTATTTCGACTCAGCACATTTAATTGTGTTTCGTGGATTCCAAGCCAAAGACGAAACCTTTTTGCCAACTCCTTACATTAATTGTTGTCTGAACCAAAACCCTAGTTTAGTTCTCATATGGTTGTCTCAAAATCTTGACTGCTGTACTTTGAAATGGAAGGGAATCAATGCACATTCCTTTGACAACAAGAACCAACAAAGACATGGGACAAAGGAGTGGTCAGAGGAAAAGAAGGTGCAAAAGAATCAAATCTCTATCATGTGTAATATAATCTTCGTTTCTTCATATACATATCATATATATATATATATATATATCCATGAAAGGCGCAATAAGAAAAGAAGAAATCAAACCTGAATAAGAAAACAGCGGTTTGCATTTGATTAAAATACCAAAGTTACAGTAATATTTATCTAAAGGGTTGGTATAAAGAGGGCAAAAATCATCACCTCTGTCAGCAAGAAAATTACATATACTACTTAAATGGTTTAATTTCCCCCCCTAATTTCCATCTACATGATCTTCTCTCCTCCATTTCACCAAAGTCAGTAAAGAGAGTTACCCATGATTATATATCTACTCTTCTTTCATCATATTGGACGGTATGATGTCCTGAAGTAGTCCATGGTCCTTAAGCAAGGCTGACGCCGGGGCAGGAGTGCAAAAACGCCTCTCGTGAAGAAAACTAGAACCATTTTGAGGGAGGTTCAAAGGTGACAAGTTGTTGATGAGGAAGGGATGTAAATGGTAGGGTGGAGTGGTCCCTTGCATTGGCATGCCAAAGGTTGCGGCAGCTCCGGCTGCCGAGGTCATCAGCTGAGCACCACCACAGAAACTTGGACGAGGCATGATTGGGCTCGGGTGCGTGTGCTGGCCTTCATAGGTGGTGACAACAATGCTTGGATCACTGAAAGATCTCTCGACCCTTTTCTTCACATTACATGATGCAGTGGTGCAACGATAATAGCTCCTGAATCAAAACAAAGAAAACCCATTATTTATTTTTGTGAATTTTCAAATCTGGATGAGAGAAAATGGAGGAATAGGGGCATTGAAGTTAGTACCTAGGAAAAGGGCTGTTTTTTACCGCTTTTTGGCCGTACTTTCTCCATCTGTATCCATCTTCCAAATGATCAACCTCGCTCTTTGTCATGAACGCAAATCTTGGCTCTCTCTGTCTCTTCTGATTTGTCTTCTTGGGTTTCAACCTATAGACCCACAAAATCACAAAACACTCAAAACAAAATCCTCAGTTTCAGGCATCTCATTAACCAGAAAAAAATACCTCAACAGCCTTGAATCCCGTCATAAAAATTTTAAAGACAATGAGTTTTGAGTACCAACTTGACTGATCTTTTGTTAATACCTCATCTTGTCTTTCCAATCTGTTCCCCATTGGGATTTCTCTCTACCATTATATTACTAAACCAAACACAATATAAAAAAATTGATCCTTTTTGTTTTTTCTCAAATGGGTTTTCTTTAAAAATAAATTAAAAAAAGAAGAAGAGAGAAAACATCAAAAAGAAGGGAACTCACTGTTTCTTTGTTTTATGCTGATCCTCTTCCTGGTCTTCAACTTTGACCGGCTCATCATTCACACCCTCACATGATTCTGACGAAATAGAGGAAGAGTTAGGCGTGGCAGGCTGATTCAAAACCTCCGGCGACTCTATCTTTCCCCCGGCCGGACTCAGAGCTGATGTTGTCGCTGTAGATGCCACCTGCCCCACATCAAACACAGGACTAAACTCTTGAAAACCCAGAAGCTCCATAAACCCTAATGAACCGCTCTTCTCCCCTTCAGTCAAATCAAACGCCCCTTGGTAGGAACTGGAAATATAATCAAGAAACGGCGAAGATCCCATCCCCTCCTCCATCTTGACCACTTCTTTCCTCTCCATATATAGATGACTCAGAACCACAATTTCTTCATCAAAATCCAAACTTGATGCAAGAAAAAGATAAAAGGCGAGAGCTTGTGGTAAAAAGAAATGGAATAGAGTAGGGTTTGATCTATTTTATAACAGAAAAGGAGAGAGAGAGAGAGAGAGAGAGAGAGGGGGAGAACTTTGAGCTTAAATGAAAGTGAGATTTTTGGGTAGAGAAATTGCTAGGTGTATCCGTGTATAATGTGGGGGAACAGAAGCAAAGGTTGACCGGCAATTGTAGGTCAAGGTTTTTGCTCGGGCATGAACAGTGCCGGTTGCCATTCAATGCATTGGTCCCGACACTGCGTTCGACGTTTCATACGCGGGGATTTTGTCCGGTGAACCGGCTCCATCCCAGTGTGAACGGGGACGAGACACACGTGAGATTCTTACGGCGTAGTAAAAAGGTTCGTCGAGCGTATGTGCATGTGAAATGATGAAATCGATTAAATTTCGTACGAGTATGTTATCAACGAAATATAAAAAGTCTTCATACTAATATTTAAAGAAATAATTTTTTAAATATAATATGTTAATTGATGCGAGAGATTCTTTCTTAAAGATAGTTAAAAATAATTAATTTTAAAATATATAAAAATTTACTTTAAAAAACTCAGTTGTAAATTATAAAAAAAAAGGAGGAAATATGGACATGGTCCAATTTATTTATTCTGTGAGAAACATGTATTTGGAGATTGATGGTGGTAAAGGTATTGATGATTAGAATAATTCAATGGAGTTTAATTCACCGACAATTTTTAAAAATAATGTTCATATGTGACATAGGTTGATAAAATAAAAAGAGTTAATTATAATTATTGTTTAAAAATTATGATAATTTTGGATACTTTTATAAAATTTTTAGATAATTTTTTGGTCTAAAAATAGTGACATTTGTGATATAATGTGCGAATCTCTTTTCATGATTAAAAAAGAAATTTTTAAGGGGGTGATATGATATGAAGGGATAATGTATTGATTAAACATGCTTAATTAGAAAATTAATTGGTTAAATGAAGTGAGAGGGACTTGATTGTACTACTAAAATGAAAAGATAATGTAGGGACGACGAAGTGTCGATCACTTGTCTATTTTTATAATATATAACTACGATAATGCTAATTATAGCCGGGTGTATGTGCTTTTTAAGATCAAGAATTTGATCTCCATTTTTATTTGTTTTTTAGGGGAAGAATGCTTAATGATATAGTGTGAGTTAAGTGATTATATTCTACTAGTTTAGTTTTTTTTTTTTTTTTACCGATAAGTTTTTTTTTTTTTATTTTAAAATAGTTTTTTTTTTTTTTTCACAGTAAAGGTAATATGCTTATATTTTAATATATGATTTGAATTTAAAATTTTTTATTTTTATTAAAATAAAATTACCAATAAGTAATTTAAGTCGTTTGTATTCTTCTAGTTGATCAAATATATAGATAACACTATCACAGAGCAGTGCAATGAACTTACCAACTGCAGAGAAGAATGCTTCTTGCTAAATACTCTGGATTGAGTTCAGCACAAACAGCTTATCCTCTCTTGAGTGGAGCATATGATGCAAGAAATTATGACACTCGAAAAAAGGTCTAGAATAAATTGGATCCTCCGAAGGTATGTGCGCATTTCACATAGGAGTTGATTAATTAAAGATCATATTCTTACCAAGGTTAATCTAGGTAGCTAAAAGAAATATTCCTTTTGATAATTCCACACTTAATTTTATGCTGCATGTGCGGTGATCATTTGATAATTAATCTTTGATGATAAAATCCCTTATTTTTTATGGATGATCATCAGTTGCTTTACTTTGGTTCGTCTAATGTTACTGTAAAATTGCCTCTTTTTTTTTTTTTTTCCTGGTGATTATATTGTTTCCACCCTTGTACCTCTTGTTAGACCAAGTAACTTTAATTCTTAACAGTAATATATATTTTGTTAAGAGGATGGACTACAAAATCATAATTATTGATGGAAGGAGGACCACTTTACATTTAGGAGACTCCAAATCATTAATGGTTTGCTTTTATATTTTGTTAATTTCTCGAACAGAAGTTCTCTAAAAAATAATTTAGCCCCCACAACAATTTAAACATGGCATGAACTCCGATTAAGGTGTGAAATTGAGGCAGCATAAGCTCGATTTAGTCGGTGACAAGATACTTTTTTAGTTGTTTGCAGCAGAGCAGCGATCCCAATGAAAAAGCCAAAAAGGAAAAAAAAGTGTAATATTAGAATATCACAATTCTTTCCCCCCCTTTTTTTTTTCTTTCTTTCTTTATTTTTTTTGGGTTAAAAGATTACCATTCTCCTTAATTTAAGTTCAACAACATAATTAGGTGAATATATGTGAAAAAGAAAGAAGGCACGTACGGCATGTGGGGATGAGGCTGACATAATTTGCGTGTAATGCTAACTTACCTTTGCATGCTTCAATAATTTTGTTTCTCGCTTTGTTTGTTTGTTTGTTTGGTAAAGATCACATTCTGCCTGTTTATCTTTGGGCAGTACTTTCCAATGTGTTGTGGGGTGTGGACATATCAATGGCATCCTCCCATGCCCACCCCTTCGTTGTTTCATTGGACAAATCAAATTAAAGCGTGTGTCCCCACCCCCACCACACCCCCCCCTCCCCCCAACCATTCTGCTTCAATGTACTACTACGATGTTTTACTATCATGATGAATCATTCGGGGGGGTTTTGCTGTTCACTTTGATTAATTCCCATTCAACTACTCTCACCTACTATCTCCGAATGCGTGCATCATATTTGCTGCTAGATATATCCCTATAAATCTCTATCCGATTTACTAGTTCTTAAGAATTTTGTTACATCAAAGTATTAATTATTGTAGAAATGTGTGAAAGAAGGAGTTATCTCTCTATCTAATAATTAATTTAGTAATTTAATGTAATTTAACTACAAAATTGTGAACTTTCATTATTATTATGAGGTTGTATCTGATCCATGGTACTTCGCACAAGTGCGAATTTAACAGGCGTATAGAGGGGCTAATTTAGTTGCTAACTCACCAACTATGCAGCTGCAGTCGCCTTCCCGTAGCCACTAACTCAAGGGCGAAAGCAGGATTGGTTGTTGGGTAACCTATTACGTTTTTATATTTTGTATTAACAAGTAAGATTCAAAATTAAAGTTTTAAGTATTTGTGCATAGTTGATTGAGAGTTTTGACTCCACCATCCTTTTGAAAAAATCTCCTCCTCCAAAAATTCCTCAATGTTAAAAAAAAAAAGAAGAAAGATCCAAAATTAAAAAGCTTTGCATATATTATATTTCTTTTAATGAGTAGGGCCTTATAATTATAAATCTTTAAAATTTAAGAATTTTTTAGGAGAAGAGTAAAGTTTGTGTCTAATCTCTCCCCAACATAGGTTCATCCCTCCGCTAATCTATTTCTTCTTTGTCTTATATCTCTAACCACCATAGTCGTTTTCCCTCATGACAACAGGGGACGATGGATGAAATGTAAGAATTTCTCCCTTATTTTCTCTCTCATAAAGTGTTTGTTTTTCTCGTTTAGATCAAGTTTTGCCGTGATAGAAGAGAAAACGTAATGTAAGGGTAACTAACTTATTTGCCCTGAAGTTGAAGTTGGCATGTCAAAAAGGACTTCCTAGTGATTAAGACAGTCAAAATGGTTGTCTATCAACTTTGTTATCCTTGTTTATGCGCTTGCAACAATTGATTTTGTAATCTTATAGTTCTAGGTGATATCTTATAATTAATTATATCTAAATTCATTTAGAAGTGATATCGCCTATAAGGCTACCATATGCTATAGACATAGCTTGAAAGCACTCTGTAAGTCTGTTTCTATTTTCCTTTACTTGTATGGCATCCAATACGAGTTTACAGTGTACCATATTTGCCTATTAATTAATGAATCTATGTTTTTTTTTTTTTTTTTTTTTTTTGAAGAAAAAAGGAAAGTAGAGCTGAAACATTTGTGACTCGGACAAACTTGTATAAAACTCTCCTTTTGTACCAAAAATTGAAAAATTTATGTTTCCCATTAACAAAAATGTTTAGGACAGGAGCAAGATTTGTTGAGTAAAAACCAGGCTCAAGATTAGATAAAGAGTCGGATGTTTTCGGCTCCTTTTAGGGTGAAAATCCAATTTCGGCCACGATCCGCGGCCCTCTGTCCCCTTTCTAACACACACACCCACGCGCAACCGTTGGCTTGTTCACCTTTCTCCGTGGCACACGTGTGGCATTTCAAATTTCCTGAGACCCGCATCCTCCGAGCCACGCCGCCGCCACCACCACCACTCCACTTATACGAGCTCACGGCGGCCTCTGCACATGGCATCACCCACCACGCGCTCTTAATTGTGCCGCGAGTTAGTATTAATTGTAAATTTAATTACTGATTGCCGGAGCGGAGATAAATAACAGAACAGTTACTGAAGCTTATACGCGGTATTGGAATATTCCGGGGGCGGAGTGGCTCTCCACACATCCTCACGGAATCTTTATTTTAAAATATTTATGAAAAAAAATATATTATGTAGTTTGAATTGTATTAAATTATATAATATTTATTATTAGATAAAAATTAAGCTTTTTAGTATTAGTTGTTTATTTTTATTCAATTACTCATGTTTTGTAATTCAAAATTTGATTTGTTTAAAGAATAATACTTCCTTTATTCAACAAAAGTTTAAGTGAAAATTAAGGAATTTGTTAAATAACAGAAAACTATTATGGTATTACCTAGACTGATTAATTTTAATACTAGTCCTAATATAAAAAATAAAATGCCCTACTTGATAATTATTAAAAGTATTTTAAATTTTAATGCTTAGTTTGACATTGAAGTTAGTATTTTTAAAACTAAAGACTTTTTTTAATTAAGGCAACTGGTTCGGGGGGAAAAGAGTGTGGAGGGAGATTGAATCCTTGTCATGATAAAAAAGACTCACGTTAAGGTGTTGGACCACTACACGGACAGGTCTTTTTCTTAAAATTAGAGATTTAAACACTCTCATAATAATTTTTTTTTAGTAAAATTAAGATATATTGAATTTGAATCACATGAATATAATTAAAAACAAAAAGGAGATTTGCTTCCTGATTTAATACATAAATAAGTAAATATGCTACTGATTGATCAGTTGCTGTTTGCTTCTTGGGAACGTTTGGGAGCTCAAGAAAGGAGACAATGGAAAAATAAATAAAATGCTACTAAATTGGAAGGTCTTACTTTTGCAATTTCTGTTTGTTTTGTTCTGCAAAGTGATTATCGTTGAATTTTAAACTGGAAGCCTGATATTTTGACTGTAGTCACGAGTGTTCCCTACAACCTACACATTAAAAAATAAAAAAAAAACCTTGTCCTCCATAACCCCACTTGCGGTCTACTGCCCACCGGTTAATGTTCTCTTTATTCTTTATTTTATTTTTTTCTCCCCACGGATTAAAAAGAAATTTCTAACTTAAAGAATAATTTTTAATCTAATTTTCAACTTAATAGAAGATGAAGCATGGCCTCAGTAGTAGAAATGCAAAAACTCAAAAATCTCTGCCCTATTTGAAAGTGTTACATCTAATCAGTTGTTACCATGTAACAATTATAAAAGATTGCTAATAAAAAAAACCGTTGATAAATAATATAACTTGATTTATCAAAAAATTAATTCATCTTTTTTTCTCTCTTCCGTTTTTTTTTTAAACTAAATATATTTATAATTTAGAAAAAAAATAGGAAAATTGAGAGAGCGAAAAATATTAAATGAAAAAATCTCACATCGAATATATAATAAAAATGTATGTAGGTTAAGTATAAAAAGAATAACTATATTTATTATTAATTGGTTTTAAATTAGATGTAAATTTTGCATTAAAATTTATATGTACAATTTTCATATTGTATCAAAATCTAAGTTACATTATGAGAAATTTGTTGTTAACTCACTTGATAAGATGGGATATGACCCAAGGGATAAGCGAAAAATTCCATATCAAATATATAATGAAGATGTGGGTTAAATATGTACTAATGGAGAATTTTAAGATGAGGGATCTATTTATACATTTATCACAATTTTTTAGGTAAAAAATAATTATATTAATAAATATAAATAAATTTTAACTATTAAAAATAAAAAAAATTAAAAATTAAAATTTTAAATAAATATGATACATAAAATTTATAAATAAATAAATTTTACTCTTTTAAAATTCTTTATTATTTTTGTTACTACCCTCCATTATTGACGGGTCACAAGCAAAAGTGCCAAAAGAATTCCCTGTTGATGTTTTGTTCATGACTTATTTTCTATTAAAATATGGTCTCCTTAAGCCGCCTACTAGTCTATTTATGATTAAAATAATTACCCAACTTGATGCCGTGAAGTTATCCTTCTCATTGGGGTTTAAATTCAATAAACAAATAATTAATCAAACATTAGCAATTCCCTGCCTCATCTTCTAGAAGATTTGACATAATTGAGATTTAAAAGCATAAACATTTCCTAAAGCAAGGGGTGATGGACCAAGGGTTTGCTCGTACGTTATTAACCAATACTTGATTTTTTGAAAAGATTAATAAAAACTTAATTTCATACAAAATTTCTAGCCTTAATATGAATAAATTATCGTTGAGTTATTATAAATGAGAGAAAAAAGTGCTAATAATGATAAAAATTTTATTATTTTTTTTATTTAAAAATACAAAATTTTTAGCCTTTTTAATTAGGTTGTAAATTTTAAATTTTTATTTAAAAATATAAATTTATATAATTTTTTATTTAAAAATATGAACTTTACTTTATTTTAATTAAAATTACTGTTTATCACCATCTGTTTAATCTTTAAAAAATATATTTATGTAAATTTTGTATTGTTATTGAAAAACATAAAAATTTATTACTTGATTTAAAAATTAAAAAAAATTATATTTTTAAATAAAAAAAAAAACAAAATTTATACCCTTATTTTTATCGTTTTCTCTATTAAGAGTTACTTTCTGGTACTATTCTACCTTTTTGTGATCATCGAGCTTGACCCCATTAGGATAGTCAAAGTAAAAAACCAAAACCAAGAGGGCCATAGGAGGTTGGGCATCTTGGGCATGATATTTTTGCTTGTATATATTTAGGGGTGAAGTCAAGGAGAAATAGACAAACCTCCACATTTAATGTGTGGGCTGCAAATCCCCCTTGATAACACACTGGAATCCGATGGAGAAACATCATCACCTTTCTTCGATCTGTCTCCTTCTTAGCTATCAGTCTGCAGACGATGAGTGTTGGTGGTATGTACATTTTTAAAGCAAGCAAACAAGAGAAGTTAAATACTCGAATAATTCCATCAGTGTTACTTGCGCCTATAGAAAGAGTCGTGTAAAAATCGCATAGTAATTTCCCTATGTAAAACAATTCCAAATCGAATTAGATCCACACAGAGGTAAAGGCAGAGAAGCAATGGTTGGAAACGTGTCAGTCTGCAACATCCACATTGGTGTATCGGTTGTTGCCGACAATTTAGTACAATCCCACTTTCATTCTTCGTTTCTTAATTGAAGACGACAATGTTTCTGGGAAGTTGACTTTGTTTTGCATTATGATGGTATTGGAAATGTTCAAATCCTTAAAACAATGCAAATATAAAGAAGAGCACACCCTTCTCATTGTGACTCTATTTTCTTGTCAAGAACATATCATTACTTCGAATTTTGGTGTCCCCAAGTTTAGATCCTCAATTGGTTTCGTGTTTCCTCCCCCCTTTTTTCTCAATACCAAATTTATAAACTCACATTTGGTAAATTTGGAACTGGTAAATGCAAATAATGAACTTGAATGATGATAAGGTAAAAATACAAATCAACTAGAAGGCCACAAGATGTAATTTTCCACAAATCCCCTGGTCCTAGCCAGTGTCATACCAGTCACTGGACTGTTGTTATACCAGACATAATTTATCCCAAATTCCCTAGTCCTGACTCCTGACCAGTGTTATGCCCATTACACGGTTCCAATAATCTTTGTTTTGCATTTGCAACATTTTGTGTATTAGAAAGATCTACTTCAATTACCATAATTGTTTAAGAAACTTACGAGAGCCGTCATTCTATTTTCTGCTTTCACCACACAGTTTCCTAACTACACTGTCAAGGTCTATTCCTCTTGAACATTCCTTTCTTAGCATCACTAGGTTGAACTCTTAAATACTATGATTCTTATGGCCAAGCAATGAGTTGCAAAGGCAAAACTATAGCAGTACTAACTTCGGAAATTCTCTGAAACAATGGCAGTACTAGCTAAAACTATAGCTTGTTTTAAATGATCTCCACTCAAACATGCTCTACGTATTCCTTGAAAAATTAAGGACCATAATAGATCCTAGAGGAAGGAACTACAGAAGTAAAGAACTATACAGGAAAATTCAGAAGCTAGCTTATATCAAAACATGCTCCACCTATTCCTTGCAAAATTAAGGACCATAATAGATCCTAGAGGAAGGAACCACAGAAGTAAAAGAACTAAACAGGAAAATTCAGAAGCTAGCTTATATTAGAGGACTCTCAATATAATAGTTCACTATACTCTTATTCATAAGAGGTTCATTACCAACATACACAGCATTTCTAATGCCAGAAACGTGAAGCCAAAGTAGGTTTGACACATGCAACATAGATAGGTTAAAACTTTTCAACAAGGATTACATATATCTTAATCTCCCTGATGTAATTATTTCGTCAACTTGTTGATGTTAGACTACTTAAAACATTTCAAGAACGTTTAGATACATCTTAATCTTCATGACATCACTATTTCATCAACTTATTGCTTATTGATGTTAGAGATAGACTACTTAAAACATTTTAAGAAGGTTTAGACATATGGTAAAATAGATCCAACATTAATTGAAGATTTAATGCAACTCTCTTAGATTCTCTGTTTCTCAGGATTAATTTATAGTTATACAACAAGGATAAGCCTAATGAGGATGATAGTAAATTACAAGAGACTTTCCATATAATTGGCAATCACCCAAAAAGTTATTCACTATCTTTGATATCTTTAGCATATTTAAACTAATTAACAAAAAAGATGTAGAATCAACCACTCCACAATACTTCAAATGCTAGTTTCCATACAGGGTTTAGCTTCGAATGCCTTTCCACAATATACCAAAAAAATTGTTTCCATACAGACTTTCCATATACTTCAAATGCTTATTTCCAGGTGCAGATGAATAGCTCAGATTACTAAACTGAGTCCTGACTCCACACAAAACATCTATTTTTCAAGATCTTCAACACTATAAGATCCAAATGTTAATCAATGTGATTCACAGAAAATAATATCTTCAAATTATAGCTAACATGACTCACAAATGCATACACCAAAAACAAAAATGCATGTTCGAAATCTGAAAAAACTAACTTTCTCCATTAATAAACGAGAGTTGTTTCCAAAATTTCATACACAAAATTATTATAACCAAAAAAAAAAAAAAAAATCACAACAATCTCTACTCAACACCTCAATTTCAGGTAAAACGAAGCCGCACCTGAGCGATTGCAGGCGAAACAGCCATGCCGGCAGCTAAATTTCTGGTTAAAACCGGTGACAGGACGCCCTTATCTTCAAAAAACGACGAGGAAAATGAAGAAAGGGATGAAGAAAAGACAGATTACGAGTTTGTGCGTGAATCTAACAGCAGCGCCAGGCTTTTCGCCGTAGAAAGACGAGAGCAAGTGGGAAAACCCGCATTAGATTCCCGCACAAACCTGAAATATGCCTCTTCCTAGATTTGGTCCGGAGGAGTGGTGTCACCAGATAATGCTCTACCCCTCCGGTATAGTATTTATACCGTTGAGGGAGGGTACATTCCTTTTGTTCGAAACCCTAAAACCCTAATTTAAACCGCCTGACGCCGACTTAACACGTGTAATGGTTATCCAGTGGGTAAAATCCTACGTCAAGTCCCTAAATTTACCTTAATCTTTTTTATTAAACTCTTAAATTTTTATTGAAACAAATAAGTCCCTAAATTTAATGATTTAAGAAGTTTAACCCTTTTCTTCATGGTAGACTTAACTCTTGTTTGTGCTTTAGTTTCGTTGACAAGATCAATACTCACTATGTTGATAA